CCTGTGGTCTCACCAGCACTGCTGAAACAACAGGCAGAATTTTCCTGGAAAAATGAATAAGCGGGTAATTTCCAGCCACTCTTGTGTGGAGCTGCAGGCAGGACTGGCGCGATGGTCATTCTCTTTTTTTTTCCCTCTCTCTTTTTTTTTCCCCTCCCTCAATGTGCTGAACAGTCAAAGCTCTCATTAATTTAAATTCCTGCTTGGCTCCCTGAACCGGGAGCCAGCCCACGCGGTCGGAGGCTTTATAAACATCCCGGGCGGGCGCACGGGGGGATTTCCATGGTGATGCTGTGATATCTATAGGGCAAGAAGGCAGCAGTGGTAGCGTCTGTCAGGGGTTCACCATGCTGTTCCCCTGCTTTTCAGTTCTCCCATGCGGCCATCAGACCCCGACACGGTCCGTGCCGGCGGCGTTTCCTTGGTGCTGCGTCTGAGCCGGTGTCCTCCGGCGTGGCACCCTTGGGTGCAGCTGGTGGTTTGAGGGCTGAGCTGGAAGACGCTGCGCTCACGCAGCACTCGTGGCTTTGGGTCGGGGCGCCGGCTGTCGGATGCTTTGCCCTGCAGTGGTTTTGAGCGGTCTGACGTCCGCGTTATGGGAGATGCTTCACGTGGTGAAAATCGCCCCGGTTACATTTTTAAGATACGGTAGAGCTGCAGGGGGAAAAAAAAAAAAAAGTCACTCAATTCAGTTTAAAACCAGTATAGGCAGAAAGCAATGTAAGAAGCAGCAGATGCAGGATGTCCTCAGTCCCTCCTGGGCGTTTGGCTGTTCCTATCTCACAGTCTCCCATTCTGCACTGGGTTTGGCCTTCCCAAAAAAGGCTTTATTGCCTTTTTTTCTGACGGCAAGGGTGGCCCGGAGGAGCGGTTGGGCCTGGGGAGAGCCGGCAGCAAGTTCAGCCCAGTTTCGTGAGTCGTGGGCGAGTGCATTGGCTCCCTTTGGGAAACTGGATTTTGGGGTTTATGCTAAATAGGGCTTTCGTACATGTCAAGGTGAAAGCGGTGGAGAGGACGTGGTGGCAGTGGAGCTCCTTCTTTGAGCTCTACCATAGCAGAGTTGAAACACCATCTCGGCTTAATAAATAAGATACTGTTGCTTCTGGTTGTGGCGCAGGACTGGAAATCACTTGAAAAGATGAGCAAGAAGGGGGATGAAAGCTCTCCCGTCCTAAACCAACACCAGGAGCGTACATCACCCGTCCTTGCCACGGACCGAGCCCCGGGCCGGCAGGCGATGCCGGTGCTGCGCAGCGTGAGCTGCTGGCTCGCATAAACTCCCTTCGGTTTCTCCTAATTCAACCTGTTTATAATTTGAGGGATATAACAACACAGTTTTCTGCTCGGAAATTTCCTTTGGGGGGTTGTCATTGGCTTTTTTTTGTTGTTTTTTTAACTGGTTGGTTTGTTCCCAACCCTTTGGAAATGGTGACGCAGCGCGCAAGACTGGAGGATGTTTATTTTGGGGAGAGATGCTGCCCCATGACAGCAGTCGGGGGGACGGAGGGGGGATGCTCCTGCCGCGGGGTTGGGGGGACCGTCACCGTTTCTGCAGGGCTTTGGGAGCCTCCCCATGTGCCTGCGTTTCCTTTGCTGCAGCCCAGGTGACTCACGAGTGAAACTCCCCCAGGGCCAAATTTATAATCTTTCCCAGGATTATAAAGGGAGGCGAGGAAGGAGGTGTTGTAAGAGCCGAGCAGGCGATGGCCCGTGCGGGCTGCCTGCCCGTGTCCTGCGCCAGCTGCGGCACGTCACC